GGCTCGGTGGGGAGGTGGTGGGGAGGTGCTTCGGTAGGCTAGGTGGGGAGGTGCTTCGGTAGGCTAGGTGGGGAGGTGCTTCGGCCGGCTCAGTGGGGAGGTGGTGGGGAGGTGCTTCGGCCACCTCGGTGGGGACGTGGTGGGGACATGCTTCGGTAGATTTGGTGGAAAGGTGCTTCGGTAGGCTCGGTGGGGAGGTGCCTTGGCTGGCTCGGTGGGGAGGTACTTCGGCCAGCTCGGTAGGGAGGTGCTTCGATTGGCTCGGTGGGCAGGTGGTGGGGAGGTGCTTCGGTCGGCTTGGTGGAGAGGTGCTTCGGCCGGCTCGGTTGGGAGGTGGTGGGTAGGTGCTTCGGCCGGCTCGGTGAGGAGGTGGTGGGGAGGTGCTTCGGCGGGCTCGGTGGGGAAGTGGTGGGGAGGTTCTTCGGCTGGCTCGGTAGGGAGGTGTTGGGGAGGTGCTTCGGTAGACTGGTGGCGAGGTGCTTCGGCCGGCTCAGTGGGCAGGTGGTGGGGTGGTGGGGAGGTGCTTCGGTAGGCTCGGTGAGGAGCTGGTGGGGAGGTGCTTCGGTAGGCTCGGTGGCGAGGTGCGTCGGCCGGCTCGCTGGGGAGGTGGTGGCGAGGTGCTTCGGTAGGCTCGGTGGGAAGGTGGTGGGGAGGTGCTTCGGTAGGCTCGGTGGGGAGGTGGTGGGGAGGTGGCTCAACGGGCTCGGTAGAGAGGTGGTGGGGAGGTGCTTCAGTAGGCTCGGTGGGGACGTGCTTCGGCCGGCTCAGTGGAGAGGTGGTGGAGAGGTGCTTCCGCCGGCTTGGTGGGGAGGTGGTCGGGAGGTGCTGCGGTCGGCTCGGTGGGGAGGTGCTTTGGCCGGCTCGATGGGGGTGTGGTGGGAAGGTGCTTCGGCCGGGTCAGTGGAGAGGTGGTGGGGAGGTGCTTCGGACGGCTCGGTGGGGAGGTGGTGGGGAGGAGCTTCGGTTGGCTCGGTGGAGAGGTGGTGGGGAGGTGCTTCGGCCGGCTCTGTGGGGAGGTGGTGGGGAGGTGCTTCAGCCGGCTCGCTGGGGAGGTGGTGGGGAGGTGCTTC